GTATTGATACTCTCCCCTAGGTATCGATACTCCCTTGAGTACCAATACCAAAATGGTAATTTGTTAAATCAATCTCGATACCATGCTAAGGGTTTCGAAACTGATGCCCCCAATATCGATACCTCTTGAACAAGTATCGATAGTCCCTTTCTAGCTTAGGCTAAATTTTACTCATTTAGAGAACAATATCAGTACTGATGGACTTACTTAGGCTCGAAAATTTCATTCAAACTCACCCACATAGCTACTATGAGGTTCTAAAAAATTATTAGTGTCTTATGTGAGTATAAAGGGTCATAAATAAAGCTTTATCACATTTTATAACACTAAAATACATAAATCACCATGGAAATCATCTTATCAAGCTTTAACTAACTTTCAAGAAAATGCTACTTCTTTAATAACCCACAAAGAGTATAAAATAGTTGTAAGTATGGATTCTTTATTTCTTAGGTTGCTAGAACCTCTCCAACTCAACCAAGTGGTAATTTTTCTTTCCCTTAGGCCTTTGAGCTTTCTCTCACGTCCTTCTCCAAACAAGGGTAAGTAAAGGGGTTACTATCTCATAACTTCTTAGATTAGGGTTTAAAACTCTTTTATAACTTGAATCTTACTGAAAATGGCTAGAATCCAAAGATTCTCATAAACCCCTTAAAACCTCATTTTTGGTTCCAAGAATAAAAACTAGAGAAATGGAGCTTGAATTGAAGCTAGATTATAAGGATAATAAATTTTACCTTAGCTGAGCCAAACTAGAATCAAAATACTTGGAAACTAGACTTTTGAAGGGAAGAAGAATGGAAAATGATGAAAAAAAAGAATAAAGAGGTTCAGTGAGATTTTTATGGGTTAGTTTATGTGAAATCAGATTATAAAATGAGGGGTTTTCAGCTTTCAAAACCTCAAGGGGGAATTTGCACTTTGGTCCTTAAACTTCCTAATTCATAAAATTTTCATCATCTTTCATTAATTCTTTTGCGCCCAACTCAACCCAATTGCAATTAAACTTGGTCCAAAATATTTTAATTGGTCCTTTGGGATCCAGCTATTGGTCTCGAGTTGACCCAAACTACTAACTCGGGTATCGGGTCGTTACATTCCGTGCTTAGGCCTAATATGAAAAGACACTTTATATATAGTCTCTAACTTGATTCACGTATGAATTCAACTTTTAAACATCATTTCCAAGCAATTAAAATCAATCCCATATTAAATTTGTAATCACCATTTTTGTCCTAAAAACACACTACCACCATACCTATACAACAACACCATCCCTAGCCACTATGATGCCACCACCAACTCAACTGTAGCCCCATGCCCCAATCTCCAACACTCTGCGCCACCTATATGCCCTACCAGTAGCCTCCTAAATTCATGAACAACTACACAACCAAATCAACATTTTTATATTTGATTTTTTACACATGTAATAGGTGATAAATACCCTAAATCGGTGTAAAAGGGGTCCCTATATTTTCCTCTCTGGCTCCTATTTTAGAGAAAAAAATTGTAATAGAGAGGAACATCATCCTTTATTCGAAAGAATATACCAAAAAAGAAAGATCATTTAGTTTTACATTTTTCTACATTTTTCTTTCTTTCTTCGTTTAATTTCAAACTAAATAAGATAAAGCACATAAAATAAGAGAGGGAAGGGGGTTTTCTTTACCTTTGTTGTCAGCCTTTATCATCGATTTAGGAGGTCTTCGGAGTCCGAGGAAGCGTAGTGGTCGGGGTTTTTTAGAATCGTTCGAGAGAGTTAATATTTTAGGGGCCTTTTAGTATTTGGGTCATTTAGGTTTTGGGGTAGATAATAAATCGGGGTTTTTTAGTTCATCTAGGGATGGTGGAGCCTCCCTTATGGTAGCTAGCGGTATTCGGGGTGGTAAATGACCACTAATACTTGGTGACCAACATTATTTTTGAGGTCTCAGTCTTCTCGGTCGTAAGAATATAATAGAAGAGGAAGAGTTGTCGTTAAAAATTAAAAAGAAGGGGGATTAGTTTAGTTTAGGATTATGTTTTTTAGACTTATAAAATTAGGTTTATATTAAAGTTTTGGGTTATTTTCCCATCAAACCATTCTAGTTTAGATGCGTATTTTCATTTTGGTAACTAATTTTGGGCTAATCACCATTTAGTCCCCTTGGTATTTTTGTGTTTTTACATTATAATCACTAGTGGTTTTGTTTGGTTCATTTTTTTATGATTTTAATACCAAGTTTGCATTCATTTTAATTTAGTCATCATTTTGTATTCTGATTTATTTGAAATTGGCTACTAGTTCTTTTGTTATTTTATTTTATTCACTTTCATTTTTTTATTTATTATGAATTTGAAATGGCAGTAATGATTTATTCTGTTTGGTCACTCATTTACATTTTATTTATTCTAATTTTGATATAATGCTTTTGTTTATTTACATTTTGTCCATTTTATTTACATTTTGTTTATTTTGATCCAGATGCACTATTCTACTTATTTACAATATAGTCATTTGTTATGCTTCTTTTATTATTTTGAATTGTTTGTTAATTTTTATTTTTATTACATTTTAATGCCTTATATTAAAATACTAATATTTGAACCGACCTTGTGGTGACCCGAGCCAGGGTAGAATCCATATTATCATGGTTTGGACTCTACTAACCATTAACTTGTTATTTATTTATTTATTTTAATTTGTAAACTATCTATTTGTCAATATTCACTACTAGAAAAAAACCCCTTTAATGACGCTCATTGCGCATCATCTATGGGTACAGATGACACACAAATGTGCGTCATTGAAGCCACCGACAAAAATCTCAGATGACACGCAATTGTGTATCATAAATCTATGATGCGCATTTATGAAACACATTTATGACGCGCATTGAGCGTCATTGAAGCCCCCGTCATAAATAAAGATGACACATTTGTGTCTAAAAAATTTATGACACGCATGTATGACTTATATTGAGTGTCATTGAAGCACACGTCATTAAAAAATAGGACATACATTCTTGTGTCGTGATTGTATTTCGTAAATTTATATATATATATATATATATATATATATATATATTGTAGATTGACAAATAATCAAACTAAATCACATTTAATGCCTCATAATACTAAATATATATATCATATTATAAATAAGCAATCCATTTGCATACAATATATTCACACTAATATGCCCTCACCATACGGGCGTGTACACAAGAAATCATCATCAAGTTCTACTAAAGGGGAGTCTTGTGAAAAATCAAAAGTAGCATGGTATTCCAACATATCATCAGTTTCACCATTTGCTCCATACTTGTACATCTTATGTGGTGTGAAGCCGACAACAGACAAATTCACACCTTGTCTACCTAGCAAAAAGAAAACAACTTGGAATATTCATTGTATACCATTAAGTCTGTTAACTAGTTAAGATTCTATAGAACCTTGATAAGTTAGAGAACTACTAAGTGCAATGCAATTCTCCCAAGTTTCAATTCATACCTTCTGCATATATGATCCAATTGAGTGCGGTAAAGATCAAACAGTAGCCAGATACCATATCCAAGCTTCTAGTGCTTCTGCAACTTATATTTCAGAAGATGCAAAAGAAGGCTGAAATGGTACAATTACGTCAGAAGGAACAATATTAGATTTCCCCTTTGAGAAGACAATATTAGAATCTATCTGGTAAAATTGTCACTTTAATTGAAAATAATTGTAACAGTTAAAAATAGTTGCAATATATAGAACAAACACATTCCTAATATGCATATTAAACTTCTGAAAACACCTTCCTTGGTCCAGTATATTTATGCATAAACATGCACTCATATTTCAACAAACCAAGTGGCAGCTTACTTTTTGAAACTCTATCAGATTTTTCAGCAACTTTGTATTCTCAATTCCAATGGAGTTGAGGCTTCCTGATTCTAGTTGTGTTTCATAAACCATCAAGTGTGAACCCGCAGGTAGCTGAAGAACTCCAGGAATCAATCTGCAATACATCATGAAGTTATTTAGAAAAGAAAAAGTTGAAGGTTCCAAGTTGTTTTCTTAATGCTTGCAGACATTAACTTCCCCTAGTTGCAGGGATACGATTAAGGATACATGTTTGTTTGATAACCCTTTTTTGGGGTAAGAGAGGCAGTGTTTAGATATTCCAGTGTGAGAGGCATGCAATTAGTGAAAGGTAGCAAGTTTTTGAAAGTTTAACTAAGGCGAGTGCCAAAAACAGATGCACTTTCTTTGTTTAAACCTATTAGATATAGTGACAGTTTCCCGACAGCAACATCGTCTACTCGAGTGTGAACCTGTCGATCAGTTTCGTACAATCAAAGATGGGAGTTGAAAGGAAACATGGAATAATTTTACTTTAATGGAGAAGATTTAACAGATAGAATTCAAGTGAATAGGACAAGAAACTACCACCCAACATAATCTCAAGAAAATAAGATGATAGTTGTAGTGGAAAACATTACCTTGGACAGAAGATGCAACAACATGAAATGAGTAGATACGCCGTCATTTTTGAGAACCGCTGTAAGATGCCTGAACAAAGCTTCCCTTATCTCTTTCACCAAATGTGGCTTTGGCAGGAAGAACGAAGATTACAAGGAAGAAAGATGAGAAACATAACAGAAACCTCACTAGACAATAGAAGTATTGAACTGAAAACTAGTCAGCCTAAGAAAGAAAAATGCAGAGCAATCCATATATCTCTCCTGTAGAGAACCTGTTCTCTATTTCCATTAAAAGAAGGTGAAAACATAGAAATTAAATCAAATTAAGCACCACTGTGAACATATAACTTTTGAAAATAATTTCGACACAATGTTTAGATTAATGTGTGACCTAAAACAAGTCATTTGATTGCAAAACCCAATGTATACCATATGAGAATTCAAGGGTTAAGCATATTGCACTTTATTAACTCATTCAAATACTAAGTTATATAATGATGAACTAGTTTTCATTTATAAATTTTGTATATGAATACAAGGTTTAAGATAAACTGGTGAAACCATATAATTTTGAATGAAAAACGGATTTCAACTTTTTTACTCACATTTTGCATAGATCTCATTTACTTTCTTGAAGTCTTTCAAGTCAGCTAGCCTGCACAAAGGAAGCACAAGAACCAAATAAGATCTTATTAATTTTTTATTATCAAACCTTCTCAACATATAACAAACAAAAACGGAAGCAAAAATTGTACATAATTGTTGTCTTAACCACCGAGGAATAGTCAACACCACCATCTTTCAGTATTTCACTCATATTTTTTAGTAACTATATAATCACAAAGAAAATTAAGTCACTAACATGCATTTAGCTATAAAATTATGAAAAATTAGTTCACATAAAAGTAAGATACCTGCTTGGTTTGATCTTCTACAGTGTCTGAGATGAACTTTCCAGTCTATAATAGAAAACCAATACAAATGATAAACACAATGCATATATAACTGAAACCTAGGATCTATCTCACCTGAACTCTTCATTTTCCCTAAAATATACATATTCGACACATTTACTACGAGTCCAAGTAAAATAGGCTAGGAATGAAAGCTTAACATGTGAAGAACATTTAATGAACATGCCACAAACCTCTGGAATAAGACCGAGAACACAAGAGACAAATAGAAGATTATTGTCCTTGATGGCCTGAGAATATGGTCCCAATGTTGTAGGAGTTTTTTTAGTCACCACAGCCTCCTTAATCCCTACAATTAAAAACATAATCACAATCCTTAGGTGCATCTAATAAACCCATAATGCCTGACTGTTTAATTTTTCCTAACACGAACATGTTCATATCCACACTCACATTTGGTCCAATGAAACAACCCTTTAAGAAGAACACACCCATTTGTATATATTTGAATCATAGCATTAGTAAACCCTTAACAATCCTCATAGGCTATTGTCCAAAGGCTTCCAAACACAACGAAATAAAATTACAACGAAATCAAATATAAATTCCCCAAATTTCTCTTACAAAAATGACTAACTGACAAATTATCAATTAACCACTATAAACCCAAGGCCAGATGTTTCACAAGTCACAACCCTATTCTTTCCCCTTCATGTTCACTTGATTGAAACCAACACTTTTTACGACTCGATTAAAGCTAAAATGAAAAACCAAACGAATTAGCCCATTTTCAAAAGCAATCCATCAAATCCAAATCAAACAGTAAAAAGAAACCCATTATTAGTGATGTTTTTTTGTTACCAGGAGAAGTGAAGAGACTTAAGCAAACAAAAGGAGAGTCGTTTCTTGAGGAGGCTCGCCATAACTGGAGAAAAAAATCTGAAACACTTCAGAATTTGAATATCCTTTATCTATCAGAATAACTTGCTAAAAGGTAATAAACCATCAATTGTTAAAATATATTATCAGAATAGTAACTAAGGAATTTATTCTCTAGCATTAATTAAAATATAGTCATACAAGTCATTGTATAGAGCCATTACATAGTGCATTTTTCCCTCCTATGCAACATTTATAAGATTTATGGTTTTAAAAAAATATAGAATATAGGGAAAGAGAACAATTGTATGAAGGTCAGACCATTACATGAACTAGTAGTAGTATCAACCATTAAAGGTGACATCAGTGAATACAAATTCAAAAACTCGCATACATATTTAATCATGATATTGATTAAAAATGAAAGAAAAACGAAAAATATATAGGGGCTTCAATATCTAACATGTTGGATAACATCAAAAATAGGAAAGAACACATCTGTATCATAATTGCTCATCTTGTTTTGTAGTACCGAAGTCAATCTCTCAAACCCCATTCCAGTGTCAACATGCTTTGTTGAAAGAGGTTTTAGAGAGCCATCACTTTCCCTATTAAACTGTATAAGAGTAATGCATGTATCAGTGGAAAACCTTATTGTTGTTGAAGGCTTGCATGAAGAATAAGGGTATATGAAATCCAAATTAAAATTCAGGATAAGTTTTGAAGTATACAAGGTGCACCAAGAATAGTTTGGTTTATTGGCAAAGAAGAATAAAATTGAATAATGTAAAGAAGGATTCTTAATATACACTCAATGTGGCAGAAAATTTAGAAAATTTAAAGACTTATCATGGCCACACGTCACACACACACACACACAAACATCAAGGGAAAAAAGACTCAAGGGAAAACTTACTTTGCAACCAAACGGCAGTAAACGTCCAAGGGGTAGAAACTTAAGCCATAAATCTCTAGCTTCATTATCAGGAGGAAGACCAACTTTTTCATCACCACCAAAGTAAGTGGCATAAATACGATCTGTAGGCAGGCCATAAACCTACAGTTCCATAAACAAGTTTGAAAATTGGGTGGAAAATCAACATATCAACAATAAAAACAAACACCCAGCATTCCAAACCCAAACTGATCAAATCATTAACAAATTAGATGTACAAACAGAATATTATCCAAGATATGACAAACACACATTCATAAAATATTTATGTTTTGCAATGACAATAACAAAAAAATACATAAAATATATACCTTAGTGAGGAGTTACCAAGCCCACTCAATTTCCTCTTTCTTGAAATAGTCCCTAAAAGACCAGTTCCCTAACATTTCAAAGAAGGTATGTTGATAGGTGTCTTTTCCTATGTTATCAAGATCATTATGTTTCCCGCCCGCTCGAATACATGTTTTAGTGTTGTACGCCCTGGTGAGCTTACTCATAGCAATGTTTGGATCCACGGTCCCCAAGAAAATCGGCTTGTACTAGTTCATACCTATCCAGTCACCATTAAAGAAAATTGAATCAAGATATTTTTAACCCAAGTTTAGTGAATTTCGACAGTACCATAAAAAAAAGTCTGATATCACAGAGCTGAGAGTTAAAAGTTGCGAAATGATACTTCTTAATTTGTACGCAGATCAACAAAACAAATATTTGGAAAAAAAATATATAGCCAAAACAAAGAGCAAACTTACAAAACAAACAAGAAGAAGAGGGTCAATTTATCTGTTTAAAGTTGTAAATGCAACTAAACAGAAAACCAAAGAAAATAAATCGTATCGGCATTAGCGAACAAGAGAGTGGGATCATTGTGAGGATGAGGCGGAGGGAGAGACGGTGGCGTGGTGGAAGAGACGGATATCATCGAGTTCATCAGAGGAGAAATGGGCGGCAGAGGTTGGGGATTCAAACTTGGGCCTAACAAGAAGAAGAGAATCGGGATGAAAAGCAGGAGAGAAAATGAGAGAATGAAAGGAGTGGAAAACATTAGTCGTGAACTGATTATTGAGGGGGGAAGAAGCGGGAAAATGAAAATTATGGGGGAAATTAAAAGATGACTTTTAGAGATGACACACAATTAAAAAGTGTACTCCGTGTTGTTGCAAATTTTTTGGATTATGACTATTAAATATGACACACATTATTGTAAGTCATAAATCATTAAGATTTTAAGAAACTTGACATTTTTTTATGACACACATTTTGTGCAAGTCATAAATTAGTGTGTGTCATCGTTCGTGTGTCATTAAAGGTATATTTTCTTGTAGTGATTGTTATGTCCTTTGCGCAGAAATTTTCAAGAACATTTATTAAAAAATGGGTGTGGAAAGCATTGCTTGATCGAAGTAGTGTGATCTGACACAACATTCAAACGAAAAGCGAATTTGAAATAAATCGAGTTTATTTTTATAAAAATGATAATTAATTCATTTTTATTTTAATTCAATTGATGCAATGCTTGTTTCTTTAAATAGTAAGCTATTTTATGCAATTATTGATATTCAAATTACATTTGATTTGTGTTTCTTGATAACGTTGATAGGGGACATTTCTCATAAATAGGAGAAATAGATAGGATAGCCTTCCCATTGGGGATGTGCAAATCATGTGATTTCTTCTCAAATTAAGGAATGTTCCCTAATAATTAATTCGAAATAAATTAATTAATGTTCAATAAAATGATCAAACTTTAAATATTGATTCAAATTTTTTAATTTCCACCACGATAACGTACAAGCGATTAGGTACTAATTTTTGGACATTGTGGGGTGCTAACCCTTCCCCACGTATTATCGACTCCCAAACCTAAAAGGAATATTTGACAAGTGCTAATCAGTTTTTTTTGTCTTAAAAACGATTTTTCTTAAAATTGTTTAAAAGATGTTTTTAGGTGTTCGACCTACATAACCTAAAGGCCAATGGCGACTCCAAATCAATTTAATCAAAATAAAGACAAAAATGAAAATTTTCCCAAGTAAGTCATAATTGACCCCAAGTTGTGAATTAGATACCATGCGGATATGATTATTTTCTTGAAATAAATCATTTTGGGTAGAAAGCATGCCTAGATAGGATTGTTGTTTAATAAAAGCATGTTTGGGTAGATATGATGATTGGGTAGGTGTTATATTTATCTTCAAATAACATCTTTTAATTCTATTGATTATCTTTCTTGAACTAACTCATTTCTTCTCTTTTTTGTGTCATTTTCACATTTGTTTTACATTGCATTTCATTTACATGACATAATACGAAAGTGTTGATCCGAAAGGGGATATTTAAGTGAAAATTTTCACAAGAAGAGATAAAAGTTTTCAATCAAACATTCGCATACACAGACATACACAGAGGGCTAAAAGAAGTTCAGAGAGAACAAGAAGGAAACTTTCTTGAAGATCATGCACCATTCAAGACCGGAAATATGATCTATTGATACGAGAAGTAATATGGTAGTAGAATCTTATATACAATCATTCTATTGCTAATCACCAAGGAGTGACACGTGACTTCAGCACCATAGGGGCATTAACTGAGTTAGGTTACAAAGCATTTGAGGGGCATAATTTTCAAAGAGGAAGCTCCGAGATGAAGCATCGACCCCTTTCAAACTCAATGTCTAGGCAAAATCATCTCTATAAAATGGACTATCTTGTAACATGAAGACTTTTATCTCTGATGAAAACTGTTATATGGTAGTCATCGTTGGGATCAATATTTTTTGTATTTGCATTTGCATCTTTGCATTTCACACCTGCATTTCATTTATTTAAGCATTTTCATATGCATCATTCATGAAAGTGTGGGGATTAATTAATGGAGAATTTGATGGCAGTGGTCCTAATCACGTGACATAATGGAAGCAAAATTCGAAAAACTGAAGAAAGAACAGGAAAAGAATTTGCAAAGAATGTAAACATATTAAGAAGTTTAGGGCATTCCGCTGAGAATTATATGCCATTGAAGCAAAATGTCCAGAATCTGATTGATTCGAGGTCATGGATGTTTGATGAATAATGGGACATTCTGATTCTAATCAAGAAGATATCTTTTCATCTACCATGAAGTTTTCTTGCACTTGCATTAAGAGCATTGTTTTGTTTGAAGTAGTTTTTATCATGTCTTTAATATTTGCTTAAATATTTTTTAAATATTTTGATGATTGAACTTATGCTACCTTCTAAGGTTGTGAATAATTAAACGAGTTTTAATTTTTTAGTTATTTGAATATCGAATGAATTACAAATTCTTTTAGTTCTTGAAGAATTGTAGATTTCTGACATATGGCAAGATTAGACATTTTTTATATCATCTAAAATAAAAAATAAAGCCTCCCGATTCTATACCCGGAATAATTCATGGTCACTACCAAAGAACAAAATTTTGACATTACCTCTCTTTGATACTTTGAAATATTGTCTTTATCTTTTTTGAGACATGAAAAGTCATACCCTTACCTTTCGTTGTGACAATTAAGTCACATCCTCATCTTTTGAGACACAAAACCGACATTTTTCTACCAATAAAACCTAAAAGCAATGAGTACAAGATGTTTACTTGCACAAGAATGGTTCTTCATGAGAAACAAGATAGAGCATTTCGAATCAATTTTTTGAAGATGAGTCTAAACAATTGAGACATGCTAGAAGTAGGAAGAATAAAAAAAAGAAATTAATTCAAAATAATTCTATCATGTAGTAATTAATTGTTTTCATTTGAATAAAATTAATCCTGAATATATATCCCCTTGGGGATACATCTTCTGCATGGACTTCCGTGTATGAAAAGATAAACGGATTTCTTTCATTTATCCATTCACAAAAAGAGAAAATATATCCTTATTGTCCCCATTTGAGCCTGAATTATTTTTCTTCTGATTTAACCCTAACCAAGGATCACCCTCCACACTGGGGGAAAAGGTAAATGAAATCTTCTCCCAGGTGTGAAGACCATCAATTTATGTTGTTCTGAAATAAAGTGCGAAATAACATGGAACTGCAAAATAGATCAAATGCAAAGTGCGGAGATCAAATCCAGTCAAGAACAACGAAAGAAGTTCCAAATGCAAGAAATAAAGAGGATAAGAATGCTCTCAAAGCAATTAAAGTACTAAACTTATCCAATAAATTCATATTAAAGAAAAAAAATAAAAGCAAAAAAAAGAGAGGAAGAAACAAAAAAAATAAGAAAAGAGAAAAAAATAAGAAAAAGGGAAAAGAAATCAAGTATTTCAAAACAAGTGACTCATCGAGCTTCAAGTCACAAGATTGAGCAAGTATAACTAGTTCAAAGATCCAGAATCAATTCACGAGAAGATCATGGAATATCAAGGGAAAATAACAGACACATACGAGCATATTCAAATCGAGAAAGAAAAGATTGAAGACAACATAACGAATTATTCCTTGGTTCAATAACCCTTAAACATTTGTTTGGGCTTATTTACACATTTCTTTCATCAACGTGAACCATAGCCTACATTACGTGCCTAAAAAGTCCCTTCTAATCATACATAGATTTCTAAATAGAATAGACCATCTTCAGAT